GCTTAACTCAATTAATAGACCACGTAGATAATATCCTGAAAACTCTCAATGACGGCAACGAGGTTGATGTGATATACCTTGAATATGCCAAAGCGTTGATCGATAAGGTAGACCATCAAATACTACTTGCAAAGGCAAAACGCTATGGAATAAAAGGAAAGACTCTGCAATGGCTGACCGAATTCCTGAAGGATCGCCTGCAAACTGTGGTCGTGGAAAGAACAAAATCATCATTTCAGCTAGTAATCAGTGGGCTACCCCAAGGAACAGTATTGGGACCCATACTTTTCATTCTATATATTGACGACCAACTTGGCACATTGGTTACCGCTCTGGGAAAGGTGTTTGCTGACGAAACCAAGCTCATTGGAAAATTCATGGACCTAGCTACCAAAAGCCTACCTCAAGACGACCTCCTCAATGTAATAACTTGGGCCCTGAAAAACAACATGCAACTAAATGAGGCCAAATTTGAAATATTGAATTACAGCTTGAACAATTCATTACTTTTAAGAGAATTACCCTTTACCAGTCAATATTCCTGTTACAAATTACCAAATGGAAGAACTATTGACTCAGCCAAAACTGTGAGGGACCTAGGGGTTCTCCTGTCAAATGACTGCTCCTGGTTTTCTCACATACAGCTTTCTAAAACAGCAAGGACGATGACGTCATGGGTCCTTACTCACCTTAGCGTATTCAGAGATAGGTCACGCTTCCTCATGCTCACCTTTTACAAAACTATGGTGAGGAGGCAAACTCGAATACTGCTGCCCGGTGTGGAACCCTGACAAAATCAGCGATATAGAAGCTATTGAAACTTGAAATCATCCAACGACACTACACTCGTCGAATCAGTGGCTGCCAGAACCTTGATTACTGGGAACACCTGCAGAACCTGAATCTTCTCTCATTACCGAGACGCAGAGAACGGTACATCATAATCCATATATGGAATATGATGAATGGACTAGCTCTGAACGACATCAACATGCAGTTCAAGGAAAGCTCCCGGCACTGTGTAAAGGCCACTGCCTGCATTTAATAAAAAGGCACAATGCTCAATCTCGACCCATTATGAAACTCTTTTGGAGTAAAAGCAGCCAAACTACGGAACCTGCCCCCCCAAGGAAGTTAACACAATCCAAGTCTTGGAAACTTTCAAATCCTCCCTTGCTAAATTCTCGTAAGGCTTCCCGGATACCCCGCCCACAAAAGCTATACCGCCATCACAAATAACTCTCTTCTGGAATGGACTCTACAAAAAGATCTAATCCAGGAGTGATCGGACGTACTTGATAATGTACGATCCCTGCCGAACCTACCTAAAGTAACCTAAAGTAACCTGAAGTAACCTATTGGGGAGTCACGACTGTGAGGAGCCGACGAAAAAGGCAGAGATTATGAGTAAGACAATCCCATACCTCAGGGCAAAAGAAAGAACAAATCTGCGAGCTCTTCAAAAAAGGGCATGCCCACATGGATCATCTGGCAAGGTCCTTGTAGACGGCAAAACCTTGTGAACTGTGAAAGGAATCTTCTTTTGATTTGTCGGCGTCGACAGTAAGCCTTCCTTATGGTGGCTTTCACAACGCGTCCCCATTCTCCAACTCCTGCTGCCGGAGAGAGAGAGAGACTCCCAAATTATATACCATAAATATATTAAACATAGATATCGACAACAGACTCCGAGAGTCTTGAAGAAACGGAATCATCATCGGGGAAGGAAAGAGGCTAGACACCAACCGATTCCCCAGCAACTTAACGCCATGGAGGTACCGTGTAACCCCGCAACTCAAGCTGTTCCGGGACTACACCCGCCCATTCCATCCCATACATGATGGCGCAAAGGTGGTTCAGCGAGAACTTTCCACCATTGTCCTCCTAAATGGACAGAGTGTGTCGCCGGCAGCTACTATAAGCTACTTATAGCAGCTCTAGATGGAAACTCCCTACATTCAGAAAACCATCACCGAAGGAAGTAGCTCAGTAGCTGCCCCACCATTCATAGCCATTACCGAGTCAAGGCTTAAGAGTTACATCTCAGCCGTTGTGGTGCAGATATTAGACTACCAATCTTTTAAATTTGACAGACCAGAGAGAGCATGAGGAGGCTGCCTCCTTTATGTTCATGACCAGCTAGTGGTGACAGAAACCGACCATTACGAGGAGAGAAGCAATAACATGGTCTTCTTCTTTTGATTGGTCGGCGTCGACAGTAAGCCTTCCTTACGGTGGCTTTCACAACGCGTCCCCATTCTTCAAATCCTGCTGCCGGAGAGAGACTCCCAAATTATATACCATAAATATGTTAAACATAGATATCGACAACAGACTCTTAGAGTCTTGAAGTTCTGTTACCACCGCCCCTGGTGCAACCCCGCCGGGTTAACGACGGAGAGACAGGGACTTCCAGGGGAGGTCATGGCCTGCTACGTGCAACTCGTAGGAGTATATGCAATGTTCCTGTAACGTCACTGTAGACCGCTCCTAGCCTCTATCGTTCTTTTGAGTGTCCGATCCAAAACCAAATCCTAGGGTACACGAGACGTGGAAGCCTGTGAGCGTGTTAGAGTCCTAGCAATAACATGGTCATGTGCTATGTTAAGTAATGCAACACAGTTTTTGCTACTGTCTACAGACCTCCCGGAGCAGAGACTACAGGCAGGAAGAACTTGCTAGACAGACTGCAAGCAAAAGTTCAGAAAGTTGGTTCGAATTGTTCAAGCTGACAGTGCTCCAGATAACATTGGAGTTCTCCCCAAAGAATAAGAGTGCAACTGAAATTGCCTAAAGAAAGAGAAGAGGAAATAAGCACGTTTATGTTATGAAGAGAACACGAAGAAAGTGAAATGCTAAGATACGGGCACTACAGAAAATGAATCCTAGCGCGAGTCTTATCCCTACACTGAAAATGGAGGTTTCCCTGCTTTGTTACTACATACAGGAAGGGACCCTTAGACTTAACAGGAAAGAACTCGGGCAGTCGACGCAATAAAAAAGATCCAGAAATATTTCTTCTCGTATGCCAAGCGTTTTCAGAAGACCAGACCAGATCTACGATCCCGATGTTGAGAGACGAGACAGGGGCATTAGTGGATGACCCTAGTATAATTTAGGCTGAGTTACTACCAAAAGGTATTTAGTAACCCTATGAATGCTGATATTGACGAATGTATGAGAAGCCAAGGATTACCTCAGGGACTATAATCTTGATTGAACGAGCTAAGCTTCACTAAACAAGGTATCATTGAAGCACTAGGAGAACTGGATTCCTATTCTGCCGCACCTGACGGATAGATCCCTGCTAGGATACTCACAGCCTGCAAAGAACAACTTGCAGACCCACTAACACTCCTCTGGTAGGAGATATATTCGGGGAATTCACCTCCGTTAACTATAGTGGAAGTAGCGTGGTATACTACTGTACTGCTACTCCTAACATCCGTGAAAGAGTGTCTTCATTTCGTATCATGGAATATGGATCTCACCAAGTTCTCTGACCACAAGCAAATTCAAATGCGGAAGTGTTGTCTCTAATGCAGATACGTTAACCGAATCTTTAGAAGATGCACCCCGAAAGCATAAATGGAACAGGTCTGAAAATGAAGCAACTCGACTCCGCTATATTACAGCTTAAAACACAACCCAGTTCGCAAGCCGAGTTGAAGGCATACTAGGAACCGAATGTCATGTCAGGAACCAAAGAAGACGTGAAATGCAAGTCAAGATATTGTCAAGATTCTCAATAATGTTGCTGACAAGGTAACCCCAAATGAAAAGCTTCCTGACACTCCAAATCAACTCGGGTTCTGCAAAGGGGCCCAAACAAATGACCACAAGCTAACTGGTTGACTGTGTCGAGACTCAAGACGCTACTGTGACTCAACTCTGCTAAATCAACAAATCAAGGCATTTCAAACTTTGGGAGAATATGGGTACATTTACTAATCCCAAGTTTAAATGACTTTGATGAATATGTGCGAGCGGTCATAGCAAGCAAAGCTCTCGTTATGCCACAGCAACACCATTTGTTATAGTTATACTTATACCATTGAATTTGATTGTTATGTCTTAAAAGTTTTCCAAAGAATATGTCTATTTTATTTCTAATGTCAAAATTAAAGATGTAACATTCGAGTGCAGGCAGTGTTGACCATTGGTACGCCCCGGGAGGACTGTTCTGGTTGCCCATCTTATTTTACACTATATGTGTCAGACAAATGTGGATCCCATTCCTATATCAACTTTTAACTGTTAATAAAAAACTTACTGAAGAAAAGACTGTACGCAACAGCTCGGTAAATATTAGCGATCTTCCATTGCATTCCCGCGGCAGATTTTTCCTTGGTATGACATTATAAATTACTCAATGCATCTTTGATCTTTTACCAAAAGTGGACGACAATCAACTGGAAGAATATCAGCGGGATCAACTATTGATCGAGCTTCATTATGGTTTACTTCTAATTAAATCCCATGGTGTTCTTTTCTTCTACCAAATAGTGTAAAATTGATGCCTTTCTGTCGTCACTCAACGGGGTGCCGGGTGATGATTTCGTAACTTTCGGTTGATTGAATAGAACGCGTAATGCGTTTAGTTTAGAAACGATTGGGGCTAAATTCCCCCAAGGCTTATTGCACAATATAGCTCATGAAGTAAGTCCACTTTATATTAAGAAGAGTTGAATGAAATAAAGGATATACTCAAACTTATAGCTCGCAGCAAGCAATATTTAAGGAATCCTTTGTAGTGAGAATGATTTAACCAAGGTATATTCTATTTGTACTGTATGATCCAGTTAATAATGATAACTGTTACCAATGAGGAATGTCGGGACACTAAACGAGATCATAGACATAGTTTTAAATATTCGCCGAAGGCAACACGTAATATATAATATAGGCCTCCAGCTCGCGATTTTTGAGATTCAACTTTCAAGCAAGCTGAATTAGCTGTTGTTGTTGAGATTCAAAGTTTACAAAAGAAACCCGTAGTATAATAAGTGGAATGACTTTATAGCATATGTTCTATCAATCATAAATAAACAAGATTCCAATGACAAAAGATTAAAAAAGTTAAAATACTGGCAGAATGTCAATAATATAACAAATGTATAATTAGCTTAGTAGGAAAGGTTAAAAAGGAAATCCCAATGTGATGGACAATGAAAACTAAATTTACTAATTTATCAACTACCTATAACATAATATTATCTTAATGTCCGATTTTGAAAATTGTTTCCTAGTAATTTCAGAAGAATAAGAAATAAATTTAAAGCATTGAGCGGTGTTGGAAATATCTGGCCCTCCGACAAATATTATTGACTTAATGTGTTAGATGGTACTTCGACTATTGTGTCCTTCATATCATTAAATTCACTGTAGGTTGAAGATGGAAGAAAACAGTTATATTCAGTACCCTATCACAAACTAACCCACGAGCATGAGTCGCTCACCGCTTTTACAAATTATCTGATTCATTTGATTCTATATTGGTCCCTTCAGACAACCTACTCTACGATCTCAATATCTGAGTTCTCACTGTCGGGCTCGCCAGAAACCTCTTTCTGAGCCAGCAGGCTGATGCAGTTGGGAGCTCCGCAACAACATTTGAGAACTTCTTTTTTGATGTCCCAGAACGAGTCTCCATAGTAGAATCTGAAAAATATTTGTTTATAAAGGAGCATAATAAGGGCAGTAAAGAAGCATAATAATAATTTGGTTAAACGGAGTAGTTCACATGATCAAGAAAACTTGGAAATTAAGGATAGAGTATTTCTAAAATTAGGATTACTGTAACGATTCGTAATCAACCGTAAATCTTTAAAAAACGCCTCTCAATTCTCAGATCAGTAACTCACGTGAGCTCCTCGTAAGGTTCCACTTCTTTAGTAGTAAAGAAAGCTATCCTGGGGAATCTTAGATCGTGATGGTCTACAAACACCTTCACTGGAACACAGTTCGGCTCACAAGAGGAGTTGATGAACCGGGAGATGTTGCCATAGTGACATGCATCTATAGAACCAATTGTCTTGTTGTCGTTGTTTATCGAGTTTATACTCTGAAATTTTTCAATTAAATTCAGTTTCCAATTGAAAGTAAACTTGATAGAATCGTGAGTAAAATATTTTTAGTGGTGTCAGATCATCTAAAATATCAACAGAATGAGCTCGAGAAATTATCACCCAGATCGCTCGATAGAACTATGAACGATAAAGGTCCTCAAGTGTTCTGTACTCACCACAACAGTTAAATCGAAAAGGTAGGTATCGTTCAGCCTCCTATCAGCGTCACTATCTGATATTATCTCCCCAATATACTCGCAGATGAAGGATCCTTTCATTAAACGTTTCGGGCTTCTTACTCCCCAACCCTTACCTGAAAACCAAGTTTCATAACGCATGAATATTGGGGGGGGGGGGGGGGGCCAACCATATTAAAGTATATTAAAATGTAGGATTTTTCCCGATTTTGACCCGGGGATATACTTTAATATACTTTAATATACTTTAATATACTTTAATATATCCCTATCTCCTTGGAGGCCTACTTCAAAAATTGTTGCCCAAAATAAGCTTGAAATGCAATTCTTAATCTATTCCAAAAAGTTTTTCCCAATTTTCCCAATTTTGTTCATGGAGGTCTTTTTACTTAGTATCCACTATATTCAACAAACACTGAGTTATATCCTTCACATAGAGTTAGTCTCATTGAAAAATATTGAAGCTTTATCGAATTTGGTCAAAAGCGAATTTGGGCAAAAGCGTATGCCCAAATATGGGCATATTTTTTAAAGCTCATAGCTCAGCCAATTTTTGACCAATCTGGATGGAAATTCATGTACTAGTCCTAAAACAGGCTTATCTTGCGAATCTGAGTGAAAAATATAGTTCATCATGTAAATCTTAACGAAGAATATAAATCTTCTAATTGTAGGTATATTAAAGTATATTAAAATGTAGGATTTTTTCCGATTTTGACCCGGGGATATACTTTAATATACTTTAATATGGTTGCCCCCCCCCCCCCCCCCCCCCCAATATTTTAACAGAATGAAAATAATGCATAAGAGCATACAGAATTGCCTCAGCCATGTAACAGTGACATCGTGATTTTTTACCTACGCTTTTATAAGATTCATGAATGCAGTATATAATATCTTACTATATATAAAGCGAGACGATATATATATATATTTATCTGTGCCATTTTACTGACACCACGGCATCAACTTTAACGCGAATTTCTGCAAAAACCGTAAAAGATATACAACTGAAACTTTTTTGACTGGGTCAAATGCTTTAATGGCCTCCAAATCAGCAAAAAAAAAAAAAAATAGGCCAAGAAATAGGAGTTTTAGAGCCCAAAATTTGGTACCCCAAGTGGTGTCAAAAACGCGAATTAAATAGGTAATAATTGTTTTAGTCTCTTGAGTCTTGACACCATTTTAGGGTTAGACGGGTTCCTGCTAGTATCTTATAACTGACCGTTAGTCCTGAAGAGTTGTAAGGGATTTGACAGCCCCTTCTGTATAACTCTGTTTCTGCACTGATTAACCCAGCATCTACACCGCTGGTTACACTCGAATATCACAATATCGTTGTACTGTTCGCTTATCTCTGTGTTCAACCGACCGTCCTGAAAAGTTATCGTAGTTCGTTAGGATTTGTAATTCGTCACGAAAAGGCAGGGTTCGACAGACTCTAGGACTATTCTGGACAGCCCAGGAGACTATTAAACGTTGTTTCTAGCTTTCTAAGTCGTTACCTTGTTGTAAACACATTTGCCGCCAGTAGTAAGGAAGAAGCAGGAGCAGGGAGCCCCAGGTCTACAATGGTTCTCACATACGCACGACTGAAAAGGTGGTTGTAAAGAAAGTTAGAGTTACATCCGAAGGGGCTGCAATCATAAAACTATTTCTTTGTAATTACAATATCAATGCAGAAAAGTGAGATCAACTTAGTAAATTACCTTGACTACATTCATGTTCCTGTTGATACAAAGATAGGAACTCTCGAAACTCTCCTTTACGTACACGAAATCTAGTGGAGCAGCCACGTCGTCCATTTCGTTTATGCAGGGGATCGGTATCTTTTCCTTACCACAGGTGATATCACTGGAATAGAAGAAATAATTCAGGGAAAACGTATTGAAATACTACCCAGAATCTAGAAAAGTATACACTAGATTTGATCAAACCCGAATTGGAAACATGAGTACTTCTTTATCAGCATGGAGGGCTCTGCAAACTAGAGTCGAATACACCACAAGTAAATAGATCAAACTATATGATGTAACTAAATTGTTTGATATTTTAATATATTAAAGATGCTATATTTAATGATAACGACGTCTGACGATATATTTAAATATATTTCCTGACCTGTGCAATACGGTATTTTTCTGAGGTTTGGGCGAAGTAAAGTTCCGAGAATCTCTTTCTTTTTCCAGTTTCTGAATTAACTGTACTATTTCCGGTGAAGCATCCTGAAAAATACATTTAACAGACTTAACTTGACGCTATTGTATCAAGAGTTATTTATGCTTTCACAGCAAACAAAAACAGTGAAACTTAACCACTTTTCACGATTGGCGGGACGAGTTTTGACTGTTATTATATGTTTGCGCTATGATCTCATATGAGATGTCGTGCGCGCGGGTTCCTAGCTTTCATAGGTAAACAGTCTTCGCGTCTTCCTGATATGTGATTTTATGGTAACATTCTTTTTGTTTTTGCCTCTTTCAGGGCCGTAACTATTATTTCACCAGATTTTGCACGCTCTTCGAGACCGTTGCCATGAGAACACATCGATGTTGATGAATTTTGCATTCAGCACGTGCAACTTCAGTAGACAATATCAAAATCTCTATTTCGTTTAAATCATACCACAAGAAAGTAAAGGACAGAAACAAAGGAAAGGAAGAAGGAAAAATGGCGTACCGGATGCTCAATAACTTGAACATCCTGAACGAAAACATGAGATGCAGGGCACCAACTAACAGCCCTGTGCCAGTTACATCCAGACTGGTCAGGATTGCATTCACAGCACAAAAGCCGCCCAGACCACGCGCAGCCGACCCACGAAGACGACAGAAGCCTGAAATGGGCCTATCAGAAGGGCTTCGGACGGTCAGACCTAAAACCGCCCACCCAAAGAAACGGCGAAGTCTGGTGAATGGTAGCCCAATAAACCCGTCTCCGAAATGGAAAGGTGGTAGGCCTAAGGCAGCCCACCACATGAACCATCCTATGTTCATTCCGGGAAGGGAGGAAAGTAGTGATGAGGAGAAATTCTCAGAAGTTCCCTTCGAGGAACTGACAAAAAACCAGGAACGAGGATCGTTTGTGCCAGGTACTTAAAAAGTGCTGTATTATCTTCGTTTTTTCATGTTGCAATTATTGTATTCTAAAATTCAATAACTGTAGTTTTTGAGATTCTAAACGGGATTTTGTACACACTGAACACTGAACTATTTCATAATTTCAGAGTCCCCCTTCTCTGATGAAGGAGAAGCTATCAAGGAACTGGAAATGGTAATGAGGTTGAGTCCTGGTTCAGGGATGTCTGAATCAACGACTTCCAAACGACCTCTTAACCGCTTACGGTAAACAAATTGTAATCTTAAAAGCCTATATAGATATTATAGGGCCATAACTTAAACGTCACCGTTTACATTTACTGTTGAATAATCTGTGATATTTAACGAATTATAAATGCAATGTTTTATTGCTGCAGTGAACGAATTCATTTCAATTAATATGTTAGCGAAAATTAGTACTGTGCCATTAAGTAACTCTAGCTGATGTGAAAACTATTGCAGGCAATTTCAACTTCCAGGTGCCGTTTTTGATACAGATTCGGAGGAGGAAATTGTGGAGCAAAAGAAGGCTCAAATTCTGAATACAGAATCCTTTTCCAACACAAGAAAGGGCAACAGATGCTGCAGAATACGCAGAAGAGGAAGAGCTATCATATCTTCTTTGAGAAGGACGTTACTCAGTGTCACACAGAAGGTCCTGTGTCTCAATTAAACGAGACTAATTTGTGCTCTGCCTATGGCCATTCACATGTCGGTCAGATTCTTCAGTACCCCCAGATTTCAGTGTTTCTTCGTTTCGGTCACTGGACTTCTACAAAGCAGATTATGTCAAAATCGATCATCTCCTTGATTCTGTTAATTGGAGTGAACTATGGGAAATTTGTGATCCTGAAGAATTTCCTGAACTGTTGAACTTTGTCCTTCTTCAGATATGTGAGATGGGGTGCCCAAGAAAAAGGCATCTAGCAAAAGGCGGGGTTCACCGGTTAGTAAATTGTCTCGCAAGAAACGCAAATCAGAACTTCGGTTGCAATTGGCTGAACAAAATCCAGTCGCTACAACAGCTTACTTGGAGTCACTTAGAAACAAGATTTCGAGTTTTTACGCTGACATGCGAGACGCTATAAACCACGACCTTAACTACCGTGAACAACAGGCGGTAGATAAAGTGCACAGCAATCCAAAATATTTCTACAGCTATGCTAAAAAGTTCTCTAAGCAGAAACGCAGTATTCCAATGCTTTTCAATGAAGCCAAAAGAACAAAAGAAGTGATTGCCAACATCCTCCAGCGTATTCAGTGACCATTCAGCCACTAACGTCAATGATGCATTATTTCAGTCACCATCCCTACAGAAGCCATTCATTGATGACATGTTGACATTCTCGGTTGCTGATATAATTGAGGCTATTGATGTAATTAAGCCGGGTGCCGCTGCTGGGCCTGACGATCTTCCAGTCCTGCTTCTGAAGAAATGCAAGGAAGTACTCTCCAAACTTATACACATGATTTGGCAGCATTCTATGTTTACAGGCACAGTACCGAAGTTCCACAAGACATCAAACATTGCTTCACTTCACAAGAAGGGCAGCCAAAAGTTACTTTAGAACGCTTTCTGACCTCCTTAACGAAGCTACTGTGAACATCCCACACACACACAGCGTGGGCTGATGATATAGTAATACTTTCTCTAGAGTCAATCCAAAAGTCTCCCGTGCTTACCAAGCTTATAAATTAAGTGGACCTCTTGAAAGTTTAAATGGGTAAGTAGTAAGCCAAAGCTGTAACCACCATAGCGACTTACCCACGATTTCTCTAAAGCTATCAGAGGATTTCGAAAGTCAATTCTCCTGTTTCCCACATCAGAGATGGAGAAGTTCGACTGCACACTGACCCCAAGGAAAAGGCCCAGCTCCTCCAGGCCTAATTTGTAAAAGTGTTTAGTGACCCCGATAAAGCCTCCATTGACAGCGACATCTGTGCGACAGTGACATCTGTCCGACTCAGGGTATCAGAAAAAACGACATCTGTCCGATTGTGATCTGATTTCAATACGACACATTTCCATACAAACTGCTTTAAAGCCATCAAGGAACTTCTAAATTATGGGTTTCGAGCAGGAGAGCATTGAATGGAATCCGTGATGCCAACCTTCTGCGATATTGGATGAGGGAGGAATCATCATCTGTGCGGCTTCGTGTGGGGAGCGATGTTAGGATTGGTGGTTGATGTCCCGATCCAAGTACGTTTTCGTAGTATGAAGCAAACTCAGCCATGTCTTCAACCAGAAGCCTTTCTTTTCAAGTTCTGTTTGCTGACATGGACGTTGTTTCACCACGGTAGATATGCGGGCTCTGGAACCCTTCCGGAAATCCGAACATTTCCAGTAGGTGGTGTCGTCCCCTCGTTTGTCGAAGACGTATCGGAAGCCATTCAGGACAGAGTTTTCCGAGCCTTGTTTGTGTCCAGGGATAAACTGAAGATTGGTTGCCATTGTGCCATAATGGCATTGTGGATTGCGATAACTGATCTCAATACCGCTGTCCGGCTGTCCTATATGTACTGAGTACTCATGTAGGCTGTGTCCTGTGATATGATAAACAGGTTGTTAGTGTACGGCTAGCACGATCATGTCCTCAACTAGTCAATCACGTATCGATGGATCAGATCTCAATGGATCACATCAGCATTAGAACAATGGGAGCAACGTCACAAGATTACCCGTGAGCTTGTGAAATACGAATGTGAACCGAAATTACAATATGAACCGAAATTCGGACAGATGTCGCCAAAAACGACTCCTTTCCGACATCGACATCTGTCCGATATCCCTAATTCGGCTGTCGGACAGATGTCGCCAATCCCATTGAGGAACGCCTACTAAACCCGGTACCATCAAAGGAGCTTATTCCGATGCAGTTATCAGCAAATGATATCTCAGAAAGCATCAAAGAACTGGACCCGTACTCATCAACTCCTGATGAAGATATTTCTACTAGGATCCTGACCAAGTGTAGAGAGACATTGTCTGAGCCTATATTTCTACTTTGGCAAGATTCTCTCCTAGCATGAAACCGCAGGTTATTACTCCTGTCTGCAAGAAGGGTGATCGCAGAGAGGCTGTCAACTATAGCCCAGTTTCTATAACTTCCCATTATGAAGATCGTTGAAAGGAACAGAGTCATCCTTTTAACTGGCAATTAGTGGGATGACACAAAGTACAGTGTTCGGACCGATTCTGTTCAACCTCTACTTCGATGACCAACTGGAGACATTTCTCTGTGGGGAGGTCACACAATGTGATGGCCCTGTTAAAGCTTACCGTTCCTCAACATAGGTGACATAGGTAGGTGAATATACCACCATTTTTAGTGAAGAAGAAACAAATTAAAGTTTAATCTAAAAAATCTACCGAATCTCAACATAGGTGACATAGGTATGTGGATATACCAGAATTTTTAGTGAAGAAGAAACAAGTTAAAGTTTAATCTAAAAAAGATAAACAAGAGTTATGCCAGAACCTCATTTACAAATGACTGTTTTTCAGAGAACTCTCCAAACAAGGTTGGTAGACCACCTAGAGCGGAATAAAATCTTGCCCGACAAACAACACGGTTTGAGAATTGTAGCTGCCAGAGTATGTTGATTCGGTTCTCAAAGAACTCAACAGTGGAAAAGAAATTGATGTCATATATCTTGATTATTGCAAGGCATTTGAAAAAAATCCTGCTAGAAAAGACACAGAAGTATGGAATAGGTGGCAAAGTCTTCACTTGGATGAAGAACTGACGGGGCGAGAAAAAAGCAGTCACCGTAGAAGGACACAAGTCCAGACTCGAGGATGTAGAAAGTGGAGTACCATAAGGAACCGTCAATGGTCCTGTATTATACTTCATGATCTATGTGATCGACCGAGCAATACAAATCCGAAATTCTTTACAACTGGCCTTCGTAAACAACACGAAGCTCATGAAGGCAATAATATCCATGATCTGCTGTACACTACTTCAGATCGACTTTGGTCATGTGCTCGAGTGGTCCAAAGTTAACAGTATGGTCCTGCAAGAGAATAAGCTTGAGGTGATCAATTACTGCCTCAACCACGGATTGCCAGCCGACCTTCGACAATTATACGTCACACCAAGTGGCGTTGAAATAAAGCCAAAGGATGCTGTTCGTGAACCCCTCACGTTTGTCAGGTCACTGCTGGCGCAAGGAAAATGGCCATGTAAAGGCCGATCACCACTACAAATGATCACACTTTTTAAGTCAATGGTCAGGAGCAAACTGGAATACTGCTGTCCAGTTTGGGTGACATACAAGCGATTGAGAACATCCAGCAGCAGTTCACCCGAAAGATATTACAAGGACTACTGCTCTACTGGGATCGGCTAAAAAAGCTACGCTTGATGTCCTCTCAAAGGAGACGTGAGAAATATTCATTGGGGTGCGAGCCTATGTGCGAACACTGAACCACAAGGCTCAAAAATCTGTGGCAACCAAATATGAAAGCTCATTTGGATTCAGGGCACCGCGCCTCTGGAATCCAACCACCAGGGAACCCTTCACCTCAACTGTAACTCCAACATGACTCTCAGTACATCCTGCCAGTTCAACTCCTCCTTCCATTCAGCTCCGTCAGCAACATGAGGTATATCCATTACTAATATCACTAATATGAGTAGTATTTTGTAAGATCTACTGTTTCCTGTGACGGTCTTTTACATTGAACCGGTTTATTTCTGCGGTTCAAATTCCTCCAGTAAAGGTGGATAATGTAAGGCATCTGTCACAATCCTAACATTTAACTATCTTTCCAGTTTCTCAACCCCAGCCAGAGACGGAAACAGTAACTACCACTTGGTAACTACCATCTGATAAAAAGTCTCAGACCTGAACAACCTGTCTGAGTACCTGAAGGAATACGAGGAGAAGTGGCAGAGTGGCTGCCACAGTGTCACGTGATAGTTCATGGAAACATGCTACAGTGGTCAAGTGAATTCCTGATGAACCTCCTCAACACAGTGGTCGTTGAAGGAACAAAGTCATCCTTCCAACTAGAACTGGTGATAAGTGGGATGACTAGGAAAGAATTGGGCGACGAAAGCGTTCCTTGAGATCTGGTCCATCGATACGTTATTGACTATGAGAGGACAGGATAGTACTAGTCGTACATTAATAAGCTTAGACAAGCTGCCCATCACGGATCACCACACAGCCTACAGTATATCATATATAGGAGAACAGAATGAAGATCAGATATCACAATCGTCAGTTTATTTCTGGAATTGCGATTAAGTTTGATTATTAAAAAGTTTGGTGAACAAAACATGGCAATGCATTGTTTCTCTTGTTTTACGATTGAGTCAGTGAGACCGAAAATCATAGAAACTTTATGTTAAAAGTGAGGTTATAAACATGAAATCCTGCACAGAAGTACTTCATTTATCAAAAATTTTGCAAACCAAACACTGCTACATCATATATCTCTACAATAGAATAGATATTATGTCGAACTATTTAAAAATAAATAAAACTACACTCTACAGACTGCTGTTCCTGAACAAGAAATGCGGCCGCTTTTCTTTTGTGGATGGCCGCTCAATTTCCTGATCCGTGATGACTTATTTTATTATATTCGATATAACCTAGACCTGGGTCTTAGCTGTTTATAAGCAGTTCTTTTATTCAAATTTCTGATTGTTTCTGAATAGACTCAGTGAAGACAGATTCTAATGGAAATAAATAGCTGAATAACGTATCGACATTTCTACGTCATACTCATATTCTGAAATAGTAGTAATTCAATTATAACGATCAATATGTACATTAAAAATTTGACGACGAAATTTATTTCAAACAAAATATATAACTGTAAAATAGTTATCCACTGTAAAATAGTTTTTAACGAAATCAGAGCAAATATGAACATAAAACTGACAAAATTTATCAAATAGGGCTCATCTGAAAATTAACGAATAGCGTGACGAGGTTGTATATTATGCAACCTGACACGGATCTGTGCAAAAAAGTAATACTAACAATAATAACAATATGCTATTAATTAGTGCCTAGTGAGATACGTACATATCATGGTGAAATTAACAATTTACTTGGTCAGGTTAGCGCAGCGCGACAACAATTATTTAATTCAGAATATCTCGCAAAATAACTTTGCGCAGGATAGTTAAGAACATGGGCGACATTATATTGGCTACATAGCGGGCACGTATGTACGCACGCTCGCACGCACGGTCGCAAAGCTACCAGTACCATATACAAAAAAACCTCGTTCGCTAACCCTTGTCCTTGACTCTTTTGTGCCTTCGGCACTTTGAGTCATGGATCGGGAAAAAATATATAGAACTTATTAGAGACATCTTATGTCAAACATTCATACAAAATGAAATTGCTAACTTGAAATTTTGGCTGGACATTTTTCCAAACATTTAACGAAAATATGTTTTGATAAAGGAGCATGCTTGCGATTAGTCTACAGTACTTTATTATCTCACTTTTGTTGTATGTATTGTTGCCCTATCTAATCTTTAACCAATTTTGGATGCCGCAGCTCAGATATTGTTACAGATAAAACAGTTTTGATAAAGGAGCATGATCGTAATTGTTGTTCTCTAGTACTTTACTGCACACTTTGACAATTACAGTTTACCCATAGTTGCTTAATGTATATCAGACTTTACTGCTTAAGATGAGAGTTGCAGTTGGTGATTGGACGAAACCCGTGTCTAGATAAGTAGAAAGAGACTGTACAGTAATTCTGACGATTCATTAATATATATAAGAGGGGATTCTAAACGTATCTGCCATCAGTATTGGTGCTCTTTTTATCTTCTTTTACTGTCAAGAAGAAAACGGCTCTCAATGGATGAAAAACCTTATATTAGTACACAGAAGAAAACTAAGGCTACTCCACAATAACATATTATTGGCGCTGTTTACGTTTCTTCTTTTACTATCAAACATTGATCGTCCTTGACCGTACAAAGGTACGGTGGCAGGCCAAAGGGTGCCCACTGCCCACCACATGAACCACCCAATGTTCATCCCTCACCAGCTTAAAACCTCTGAGACCTAGGGCGGCCCACCCCAGGAGGCAAAGAACACCTCCAGAGCTGCCTAAAAGTGCAGGTACTAAGTTACATTCTCATTTTTATTATCATCAGTGTGAAATTGTTGAATTCTGAATTTCTTCGTACTTTCAAATTGTAGTAATTTTTGGTAATCCTAGATCGGATTTTGTACTCATTGAACTATTACAATCTATAGTGGAATTCAAAAAAAGCGTACCTGGCAAACGAATGGACAAAGATCCATGAACTTGAGGAGTATCTAGGGCTCAGGCCAGACTCGACAATGTCTGACGTTACTACATCTACGATGTCAGCAACATCACGGTAGTAAATATTTTGTAAATATTTTGTAATGCGAAGGTCTATAGATTAGAGGGCCACGTTCTATTGCTTAACACTTTAAATTTTGCTATTGCTTAACACTTTAAATTTTATAATATATTGGTTTAATAGATACAACAATCTATTAGTTTAAAAAAATTTGATCTTGCTGCAGTATTGAACGGTTCATTTTAATGATACGTTAGTACGCATTTGCATTGCACCAATAAAATTATTATTAATCAAATCATTGCAGGCACACCCTTCTACCAGGTGCCGTGAGCGATTCGGAGGATGAGGAACGAAGGGAAGAAGTCATCAATATCAGGGATGTTGAATCCGATAGAAAAATAGAGAAGGTAAAGAGGCGAAAAAGGATTACAATTCGAGGACGAGCGGCTCTTTCGTCTTTGAAGAGAATACTAATATTTATAAATATTAGTTTAATCTAGTCTATCAGTTTGTTTGAGTTTAATCTTGTCCTGCTGCAGTATTGAACTGTTGCTTTTAATGATACGTTACTCGTTAGTAAGCATTACTAATGCAGGCAGAATTTGCTACCAGGTGCAGTCAGCGACTCCGAGAATGAAGCAGGAAAGGAAGCAACCGTCAAAACTCAATGATTCGGAATGATTATTTAGTATTTGCACTGTTCATTTTTCTTCTTTTACTAAACGTTTATGGTCCGTGGCGTATCAGATACTTGACCACAACCTAGTACTAGTGTTCGAGTGTCACTGTCTCACGAAGGCGGTCAAGACAACAGGCAGCCCATCTGCATTCTGCATCAATCAAAACATGGAAACGGCCACAGAAACAACATGAATATCCTGATTAGTTGACAGCCCCGTACAACAGCTCCCAGCTCCATCCAGACCAGTCGGGGTTGCTTTCTCAGACCAAAAACCACCCGGATGCCTAAGGCAGCACACCAGACGGCAGAAGCATGCTCAAATTGAGCAGATGTCTGAAATGGGCCTATCGGAACGACTTCGGACGGCCAGACCGAAAACCGCCCACCCAAAGAAACGGCGAAGTCTGGTGAATGGAAACCCGATAAACCAGTCTTCAAAACGGAAAGGTGGTAGGCCTAAGGAAGCCCACCATTCCATGTTCATTCCGGAAAGGGAGGAAAGTAGCGATCAGGAAAGATTTTTAGAAGCTCCCTTCGAGGAGCTGATAAAACACCAGGAACGAGGATTCTTAACGTTTGTGCCAGGTATTTTAAAAGTGCTGTATTATCTTCGTTATTTCATGGTGAAATTATTCCATTATAAAATTCAATAACTATAGTTTTTGAGATTCTAAACGGGATTTTTTACACATTGAACTATTTCATAATTTCAGGGCCATCGGAATCCCCTTTCTCTGATGAAGGAGAAGCTATCAAGGAACTGGAAATGGTAATGAGGTTGAGTCTTGATTCAGGGATGTCTGAATCAACGACTTCAAAACGACCTCTTAACCGCCTACGGTAAACAAATTGTACCCTTAAATTCCTATATAGATAGAGGGCCATAACTTAAACGTCACCGTTTACATTTACTGTTGAATAATCTGTGATTTTTAACGAATTATAATGGTTTATTGCTGCAGTGAACGGATTCATTTTGAATGATATGTTAATGAAAATTAGTATTGTGCCATTAAGTAACTCTAGCTGATGTGAAAACTATTGCAGGCAATTTCAACTTCCTGCTGCAGTTTTTGATACAGATTCGGAGGAGGAAATCGCAGAAGAAAGTAAAGTTCAAATTCTGAATACAGAACCCCATTCCAACACAAGAAAGGGCAACACACGCTGCAGAATACACAGAAGAGGAAGAGCTATTATATCGTCTTTGATAAGAACGTTAAGCCTCGGACAAGGAGGGTCCTGTGCCTCAATTAACTGAGGACTAATTGCAATGTGTGATGTATCCATTCACACATATGTAAGAAGAATGCCTCCATGATCCCCACACATCTCCATAACTGTTGACGCTATTTACATTTCTTCTTTTATCATCGTCGTTTACTGTTGAAGACAACTTGTACTGCAAATACAGTTAGGCCTCACAGCCCAGCCAAAGAGCCAGAAAGACAAGTCGGGGCTGTCTTCACGGACAAGAAGCCTCCGCGACCCAGGGCTGCTCACCCAAGGAGAGCACGCACAAGAGGAGACCATCTTAGTCAACGAACAGAAACCCTTAAGGCCCAAGGGGGCAAGGGTGCCCATTATAAGAACCACCCGATGCAATGGTAATCCCCGGTCAGGATGCGGCCAGTGGGGATAAGTCAGGTACTTAGCTACATTCTCATTTCGGTTATCATCATTGTGAAATTGTTGAATTCTGAAATTCATCGTACTCTCAAATTTGTAGTAGCTTTTGGTGATCCTAGATCGGATTTTGTACTCATTAAACTATTACAACCTACAGTGGCACTAAAAGAAGCATTATATATGGCTAGACTGGCTTCCGAATGGACAACGATCTAACTTGAGGAGTATCTTGAGTCAGACTCCTCAATGTCTGACATAATGTCACCAACATCAAGGTAAATATTTTGTTCCGAGGTCCCTCAAGACCGGTCAGGGTGGGGTTCAGAGACCAGAAACAACTGCGCCCACCACGCGATTCAACGACACTGAACCGTCATAATTGATATTACACCTACGTTCTACATACTATCACAAGACGGAATGAACAATTGAAATAGTTTTGACTTTTGAGTGACTGATTTATTCATGATACATGCAATTATTATTGATGTTATCAATTAAAATAATTATTAGTTTTAGTTTAATTTGTAAAATCAGCTCTTTGCGCGGCGTACTGACCTGCAAGCAAGTTTTTCCCTGTTTGTTTGGAAGTCTGAGACTAGCACCTGCGTTAACAATCCCTCTAACACTGCCACTGTGTGATAACCGCGCGGAGATGTGCAATGATGTGTCTCCTGTAAACATTACCTTGTCAGCACAATCTTATTATAATAAATGTTCTGCTGGATACTCTTAGTATATATTATTATATAGTGATTGTATGGGGGAGGGGGTGAAGGGGGCCTATTACTCTATTATATAGTACACATTATCCCAGCTTTGGTCATAGCCTGTTCATGGTCCGAATCCCCCGGTCAGAACAGCTACACTGAAAGGTCAAGAATCAATAGTTCCCACAGTCAGACAACGAATGAGTTTAAAAATTCCAACAAAATCTTTATAACATCATTGGTAAAACATTTTCGGACATCTTCAGTACCTAATAAAGATAAGGGTTAATACTCCAATTATATCAGAAAGGTTTCAAGATAACATACCTCGCTCGTTGATGGCGTCTATGTCGGACCTAACACTGAGAAGTAGCTGGACAATGTCAGCATGTCCGGAGAATGCTGCCCAGTGTAGTGCTATATTCTGTTCCTGTGAGGGCATCACGTGTCATGGATTGTTTTTATAATATTTCTAGTTCAGAACTCTTTGCTCCATTCGTGTTATCGACGGAAATGATATAATACACTCAATAAACTAAAATACTGAAATGACGAGAATGGAGATATATATCGAAACGGGAAATGATATAAACACACGACCGAGGCCAAGGAGGTATGTATTATAAGTAAAACTGAACAAAGTAAACTAACCCTATCTCTAAGATGGGGATCTGCCCCTTTCTCCAGTAAACTCTTCACCACATCTACGAACTTGTACTCGCACGCCCACATCAACGCTGTCCAGCCGTCCATGTCTTGTGTGTTAACTTTTATACGGTTATCTGTCAACAACATCTGAGGAAATGTTATGTTATGGTGGATGGATCCTTTGTATCAAGTTACAAAAAATAGATAAAGTTAATTAAAGATCTGAGCAAGGGATTGTTTTATTTATTGATTTTCGGGTCGTAAAGATGACCCCTCTTAAAATATACTGGAAAGAATTTACAAAAAAAGGGGACTATGTGAGAAATAATTTAAGATCTTTTAATCTTTTAAATTTTGACACCAAATAATGAGCAACTCACGTCAATACAAAGAAGATTACCAAGCTCACAAGCATAGTGTAGCGCCGTTCTGGCGTTGGTGTCACGAGCGTTTACATTGACCCCCTGAAAACAATAAACAGTTTAGTATTATATAGAGCAGCAGACAGATTTTACATTTTGGTAGATTGATTGTGGAAATGTTGTAAGGAGGTTTAGAAATACTGTCTGGACTAAATCGGAATGACGGGGTTGTCCCCAAAGCTCCAAAGGTACCCGAGCATTTAGTACCCGTGATTTGTTCACCTTGAGTTTCCAAAAGGATCATGGATAAAATATTAGCACTAATCTGGAGATCATTGAAGCGGGCAAGTGGAAACATTATTATTTGGCTTTTTGGAATGCATTTATGAAAAAGTGCTATATTTTAAGTGACATATTTTCCCTGCCGACCGTTAATCGTGAAACTTTTATATGGCTTACTGAACCAAAAAAAGATGATTCATACTTTTGTTTGCACGTCAGATTTTACGTGATACATATCTAGAAAATTACCGTAGCCAGAAATGAAATTCAATAACTAGCCACTGGCCGGGTGCATACCAACAGTTCTACTCGTAGTTTTGTTTTCGAATCCGTCACTCAGCTCTGTTTCCTTAATAACCCAAAACCAATAGTAAACTTTATGAATTCAAATTCGTTCTTACTCTACTTCTACGCGACTTTTGTGATGGCGAAAACCAAACAGAACAACAATGTCAGAGTTAAATAGTTGTCTGTGACAAAAGTGAAATGTTACTTGGTAAAGATTACATCATGGTTATTTTGAAAACGTCATATTATATTATCTTCTTTATATGAAGTGAGTGGTCATAGCCGACCTACTTAAAACCGAAACTATTGCATCATGTTCAATAAATACAAAAGCTCTCACGATTTGATACAAAGACAATGAAAGGCAAATTATAACGGCACAGGTCGTCAACTATAATTATAGACGGAGTAGTTTTCTATACTGACTTTAGACGTGAGAACAATGGATTGATTATTACGTCATCATCTTTCCCTAATGTCTTTCTTGTGACTGATGTACAGACATTTAGCCAATCCATAATTTGACTTAGTGATGAATTTTTCGTTCGATGAAGACATTTTTATGGTTATTACATTTAGTACAGTCAAATACGTATTTTTGTATGAAATAATTCGCAACAAAGCGATTTCAACGGGAAATTGTCGGGATAGGTCTCAGGAATAATTCCAGAGAGTTCCCAAAATTTCTGACGTCAGCAAAATTCACAATTACCATTTTTTAACAACGTTTTTACCACATTGGTTTTTCGCAAATAAATCAACTTTTGGATATCGTAGAATATTCTAGTTTAAACCTGTGTGTTTGGAACATAAAGGAGAACGACTTTTCTTTTCTAAATAAAACTTGCAATTAAAATCATTTGATAGTGAATCCTAATTTCTCCACTTAACTTGCTGTAGTCTCTTTCACCACAACCAACACATCTACAGAAAGGAAAGATAATGCATATGGTCTGAAACAGTTATACAAAACAAATTTGAATTGACGAGGTTGTCAAGCATTTCGTTTATCGGGTTAGCAAAATTGATTGGGTAATTACATAATACGGTGACGTACTATTTATGAATTGCACAAAAACATCCATTAGTTTAGACAAAGACAGACTTTTAGAGGAGAACAAACATTCGGAATGTCACCAAGATTAAAAATACTGTTTTGATTTCCTGGAAATTGAAAATTTTCAAATTTTCTTTTCATACAAAATATTTTAGGTTCAAATATTTGAAGTCAACATTTTTAAACATCTCATAAACAATAGTTCATTGTACGTTTCAAGTAATTGTGAACATTTTTGATCAAAATATATTTTTGAAATTTCTGAAAATTTACTAATTATTTTATACATAATACACATTATTGTATAATTAATCAACTAGTTATTTAATTGAAAACTGAAACGTTGTCAAAAGAAAAGTTGTTCTCCTCTATGTTTTAAACACACTGATTTAAATTAGAATCTTCTGCGATATCCAGAAGTTGACTTAGTAATTGTGGATTTTGCTGAAGTCAAAAATTTTGGGAACTCTCTGGAATGATTCCTGGGACCTATCCCGACTATTTCCCGTTGATACCAAACTTTAAATCATTTGCTGACTAGGATAATATAGCCGTGTTGTATATTTTCAAAAGCTCTTTCGTTGCACTATACATCTTCTATGAAGATTATTCTACTATATTATATAATATTGACACCGTCATCATTAAGGCTGTATGACATCTAGATTACTAAATTTTTAAAATTAGGATGGGTTCGATACAACCATTCATCATTATTGAGTTCATTTTCTACAATCATTGTTTTCAGAATGAAGACCAGTTATGTTTTGCTACTCAGCTGTCTTCACACCGCTTTCTCCCAGGACACATATAATGAAGCCGCATACAATGGAATTTTGGACGACTACACATTCATCTCTATTTTAGTAGGAACAGGTCTCTGTCTCACCATCGTGATCGTTCTGGTTGTCGTGATTGCTTTTCTAAAGATGAGACAAATTGTGTACACATCGGTACCTTTCAATATTCAAAAAGTGCTGTCAGTTACCCATGCTAGGTACAGGAACGATAAGTCATCGGCAAACTTGCCAAAACCTAAAATAAAGACATTTGTTTTGAATAAAGACATGAACGTGCACAGGGCCGGTGGTATCAGCTTCTATGGTGTTTAGAAACACGAAGTTTAGAAACTAAGCTCAGCTCGCTTAATAACAACTTTTTAGCACAGCTTCGATAACGCCATGTATCTAATGACCGGCGTCTTTTTAAGACGTTGCATTTTATTCCGGCCACCAGGAATTTCAGCATCAAAGTTTAGGCACTTTATAAAAAATTCCGGAATCTTGGCACTTGGTGGTTCGATAATTTTATGGTCTGATGTGGGCTGGTCTGGTCATTGTGGTCCGAATGTGACTGACAAAAACGATAAACTCAATTATACAAAATACGATTGTATTTATTGTGTACCCATTACACAATCAATAAAGCACAAGAGAAACGTCATTGTGTTCAGCAAAATCGTGTCAGCAAGCACTTTCTTTGTGTCTCAAAATTTTCCTTTGCACTAGAGTAAGAGTGACGCTTTAAACAACTTTTCTTTTGACAACTTTTCAGTTTTCAATTAAATAACTAGTTGATTAATTAATTAAATAATTTTCAGAAATTTCAAAAATATATTTTGATCAAAAATGTTCACAATTACTTGAAACGTACAATGAACTATTGTTTATGAGATGTTTAAAAATGTTGACTTCAAATATTTGAACCTAAAATATTATGTATGAAAAGAAAATTTGAAAATTTTCAATTTTCAGGAAATCAAAACATTATTTTTAATCTTGGTGACATTCCGAATGTTTGTTCTCCTCTAAAAGTCTGTTTTTGTCTAAACTAATGGATGTTTTTGTGCAATTCATAATAGTACGTCACCGTATTATGTAATTACCCAATCAATTTTGCTAACCCGATAAACGAAATGCTTGACAACCTCGTCAATTCAAATCTGTTTTGTATAACTGTTTCAGATCATATGCATTATATTTCCTTTCCGTAGATGTGTTGGTTGTGGTGAAAAAAATACAACAAGTTTATTGGAGAAATTAGGATTCGTTATCAAATGATTTTAATTGCAAGTTTTATTTAGAAAAGAAAGGTTGTTCTCCTTTATGTTCTAAACACACAGGTTTAAACTATAATATTCTACGATATCCAAAAGTTAACTTATTCGCGGAAAACCAATGTGATAAAAAGGTGGTAAAAACCCCTAAAAAAGTGGTAATTGTGGATTTTGCTGACGTCAGAAATTTTGGGAACTCTCTGGAATGATTCGTGGGGCATATCCCGACCATTTCCCGTTGAAATTGCTTCGTTGCGAATTATGTCCGACAAAGACTTAAATTTGGACATATTTGACTGCACTAATCTGCAATTAATATATTATCACAAATTTGTTATCTATTAAACCACAAAACCTATTTTGTAGGTAATTCTTGTGCCTCACAACTGAGCGAATTTCAACATTAAAAGAGGTTACAATTTCAAACCTTTCTACTCACTAATAATTTAGTACTTTTATCTCTTAGCACATATTTCCATTCATCGGTCTGTTGCTTGAATGAACAATGCAGAACAACCACTATTGTGTCCTTTCTTTATGCCCAACTGATGCAACATCTTTGTTACACTCACAGTGCAACATTCATAACTATAACAGTTATTTCGGCAATAAAGCCACCTCTTATTTGACTCGGCTCTCTGTAATAATTTGATTGACTTTGTTCTGATTGTTTTACACATGGTTAAATTCATAATTATTGTCAGGAAATGATGACAGATAAACTTCTACTTCTTTGCTGTTCTATATTAACTGCAAGAGGAAATAGTAACCCAGGTACTTCAGCAGCGACTAGCATAAGACGTCACACTTTAATAGCTGGCTTTATTGTCTCTATCATGATCCTTGCTTTCGCTATATGCATCCTTTTCAAGTGGATATTGACCTTGAGGATTAAAGAAAATTGTAGAATCCCTCAGAAACGTTACAAATCTCGTGGTTGGATGGTGTTACAAACAAAGGATTACTTTACTAAAGCTATTCAAACACCAGGGCCCACTTGAAGATAGTGCTGCTGTCAAACTGAAATGATGTGAGACAAACACTGTTCCCCGAAATTCTGTAGGCCAGGTTGTAACTTTGTAAGAGTTCCAGAATTTGATGCACATGACTTTTAAATAACAATTGTTCAATTCAGAGTGTTTTTGGACAATTATTACGAAACCTTATAATATGAGCCTTAAACGCACATTACTCTCAGCGATATGATTATGTTAATTTTTGGTTTTTACGTAAGAAACTTCTCATTTTTCTAAAGCTTTTTCAGCGTTTATCTCCTATCTTTTAATATGTGAAGTAATTTCAGTTGGAAGCTCTTGACCACCATGTATGTTATACGGAGACATACGCAGTACATAGTTATTAGTTATCCCTAAGTACTTGAATGTAATTAAGATTGATATATTTGGTTCCATACATATA